TGTCATGAAGATGGATTAATTCGATTCTCTCGGGATTATCCCAGGAATCGCTGGGGGCGACATTGTGGCGGACAGGCGACGTAGCAAGTGGCGCCGGAAGTGCGGAGGCAGCACGGATGGCATCGAAACGGTTTCGGTGGGGATCGGGCCGCGGCGAACGGATTTGCATACGGGAAAGCGATGGCTGATGACATCCCGATGCAAACGGCCAACAGGAAGCAGACGCTGGCCAAGAACTTCATTCTTTCTTCTTTTTTTTTTTTTAGCTGAGCTGCATTTTTGAATTCATCTTGGCATTAGCATTTAATGTTTTTCAAGTCGATCGTCAGAACCAGACTAGAACTTTCTTTTTACATTGCAGCATTTCATTAAATAATGACTGTCTCCCTACAATGATATTCTCTACAGCAAAATCCGCAATGCAGAGATTCCTCATTTATTCCAGGAAAATTCTAGTCTACATTAATAATTCGCCGCAACGGATTTTTCTGCTAATTGAAGTTCTGTTCTCACCTCTAAATTGCTTAAAAGAGAGTCCCTTGCATTATTTAAAACTAATTTCAAGGCATTCAAAACGAAAAATTCCATCTGGCATAGTGAAAATTCTAGCAGATTCAAATTTTTTAGAATTGAATAGATTAACATAAAATAAGGAATAACGAATGTGGAGATCGGGAAGAATTTTCGTGGTACAATCCTGAGGAATAAAATTGGGGTTTTCCAGGATAACTCTACAAAATACATCTCCTATGCAATATTTCATCGATAACCTGCGAATGTTTCAATGATTGAACATCTGATACAGCGGAGTCAGATTCAACAATTATCAGTCATTAAATAAATCATCGAAGCCAATGCGAAGTAAATAAGGAATACGGTACTGTACGTATATTCAATAGCACTTCACGCAATATTTCCTCAGATTAAAATCACGGAAGCAATAAATATCAATGTTATCTTTGCACATATTGTATATAGAAATCAATGAGCTAATACAACTCGGATTTTCATTATGCACAATCGTCTCGTTCAACGGTATACATTACGTACTTCCCTCTGAACATCGAATGATTGAAGAATTTACAGCATCAGTCTAAGAAAACTATCAACTTAAAATATAAGATTTTCAGAGGGAAAAGTCTCACCACGGAATCTTTTGGAGGTAATTTTCAAACGTATAGCGGTGATTGAAAGACGGAGAAATTACGAGGGTAACTAAAGCTATCGCTGGAATCTTGATTCATTTATGCAAACTTTCGATGAATTCCGTAATTTGTTAATAAGGATAATCACAAGACTTGTCATTACCACTTCCCTAACGGATTCGAAGAACACTAACCGGGGTTATCGGAATACTTGGTTTGGTAAGCTTATGGATATACATATTGGAAGGATTTCTGACGAGTCCTATTAATTAGAGTGCAATCCAGTTTATCTGTGGAAAGAATCGCATTGCTGACCTTCAGGAAATGATGATGTCGAACAAGGAAAAACTCTGATCACGTCAAAATTCGAGGGAACTGCTCGAGGAAGTCGTCTTGAGGGCAACTAAACGCGTTTCGAGAGCGGAATATTTCTTAAATAGCCGGCGTAAATATGACGTCACTTATCTATTTTTGTTTCTTCAGGAAATCATTCCTTCAAAGAACCCGACGCGAGGCCTGTCAATAATCTCCCAAGGGTCATCGCAGTCATTATCAATTACCTAAAACGCAAGACTTCCCTCTCCACTTATTTTTATGTACGCAGCGTTTCGGTTCTATCTCGAATTGCCAGGAAGTCAGCGGACGGGTGTTGACAAATGATAAAAAAGCAGCCAACCAGTTCCGTCACTGGCACTTGATTAAATATTTCCGCTACTTTCCACACTTTCTTTTGTAACTGTTTCATCACATTTTTTCTTCTATTAGGGGCGTCTTTTTTCCGGATTTGTCTTCAGCTTGTTGCATGCTGATGACGAGGATCCGCGAACACTGTCGGAGTACTGAAGCTCATTAGATTCAATATTCTTGCACGTCAGCGTCTTGCGAGAATTCCGCGACTTCCGGGCTTAGATTCCAATGCATAAATCAGTACAGTACTGTACGTTATAATCTCTTATTAATTTTCTTCTTTTGCAACTCCATCAAAAACACATTTTAGTGAAGCCTGCTTTCCTGAATTTCAACTATTATGGTGTCACGTCACCATAATTCGGAACGGAATGGACAGAATTGGTGAAATTGCCATTTTCGAAGGAGCTTCATTGATATCGCGTCATTTATCGAAATTTATTTCCTAAAAATAACACGCAGGAAAATTCTAGAAGTAATTTTTTTTACCGTTCAAGAGTAACATTTTTATATTCGCAAGTCAGAATTTAAAAAGCTGGAAATTTCCCCAAAGGAAAACAGACGAACATCTGAATAGATCATTCCAAAATAATGGCGAAAATTTAGCGCAACCAAAAGTCGAAGAAAAATCCATTCTTATCCTTCACTTTGACCTTCTTCGTTCATCATTCACAACTTTCCACAATCAAGAATACAATTAAATCTCAATGCTGTTTTGAATTCCAGATATCGATTAGAGGATATATGGTTTGCGTACGATGATGAGCGAAGTTTTTCTTCCCATACCCTTCAACACGATTCAGGCGTGCTTCTGCATTGAAGTGATTTTCTTCATCCTTTAAATTCGAGTTTTTATTTTTATTTTTTTGCACGGGGAACACAAGAGAGTTGGCATACTTTGTTACATAGGTAGTATAATTTCTGTTAATGCCTAAAAGAGCTTTGCCAATATTTGATTATGCATAGTCAGCAATACGATCATTAATACGTGCTGCAACTAGAAAATGAGCTACCACGAAATCGTGACAGAAATTCAGAAGTAAACGAACCAAATCGATGGAAGATATAGATTGGGGTCGATTTGTGACCAGGAATAAGACAAGGACTGCTTTATTGCGGAATTTATTTGATTCGGTAATGAAGTACTGTACTGTACTGTCATTCACTGGTAAGATTTGTAAGATGAATGGGTGAAATAACACATACACATCTCTCAACGTATATATTGATCAATTAAATGGATTTCTTGGTTCTAATGGACGCATAAACTAGCTTCGAGATTGTGTTTATTTTACTGAAAGCACAGTATTTGAGGGCTATTCGATTTAAGGAAGACGAGGAATCAGTCATACATGCCTTCGAATATGTGCATTGGAGCTTGGAAGGTACAATATATCGGTTTTAAATTGCACTGCAGCTTACGATCAGTTGCGAGAAACATCGTTGACTATACGGTTTCAAATTCATAGAAATATTCAAAATTTTCTAATTAACGGACAAGCATTTTAAAATGCAGAAATGCATTTTTAGTGAGCTCAGACGAGGTACCGAATGTGTTATTGGCTATGACGAGAGACTCAAAATAATCCCATAATATTTCTTACAAGTTTTGCTTTCTCTTTAAGGCTTTGGCCAAAGTAAGATCAATAAAATACGAAGTCAAGACTCCAAAGGTTAGAAAGCTGCTTTTTATACGCTGGTAAACATGCTGGTTAATGGTCCCGTTATTGTTTTCACGCTGACCATTTTGGTTATGCGTTTAAATTCGTTTTACGCCTTCGAGATTGAAAATGTCATTCTACTTATACTGTAGTCTTCTTTTGAGCACTATACATACATAAATCTCCTGTTCACCAATTATAAATGTGGATCCTAATTCTTGATTCGGAAATGCATTCTGCGAGAGCACGCTATTTCAACCTGACAAAAACGTGTCTCGGAAAAGAAGTACTGTACCGTTCTTTACAAGTATTGCATTCATGTAACCATCAGTCTCGCTCTGAAGCCCGCCGCTGGAATATCTCAACCGCTACATTCTTCAGGATTTTGTTTCGAGCATCAGAGAATCTACCGGCGACGACGAATGCATAAGGTGTATCAAAGCATTTAAAAAAAGTAATACCGGTACATTCAGTTCTCGAAATCAATGTTTTCAGCATACCTTGGTCCATTGCTTCGTAGATTATTGATGTGAGGAGTTAGAAATCCGCATGGAAAACACGGCCGGTATTTCAATTATATGTGCATAATGGCACCTCGAATGAAGATTTTGAAATAATCAGAGATTCAGAGTGAGCCATGCTAGCTTCATATAATTATCCGAGAACAATAAGAGGAATTTCAGAAACTTCTGCTGTAAACTATTACGGCAAGTGTTTGTTTCAATACTAAACTGATGAAATGCCGAAAAAATGTGTTCAAATTGTTCAAAGATGTCCTTGAGTCTATCATGTGGATTTTATCCACAGATAATCGGCAAACCGCAGAATTAAGGCACATGTTTCTCGACGTAAACTAATTTTTTGTACAAATGGTGAGACCTATATTCTTGCGACTTCGAGAAACAGTTCTTACAGATGTACAAGTGGACTCTCTATACATTCTACAACGATCTTTTTTAAGATTTCCTCTGTATAACGACTTTTCATTATTGGTCCCATTGGATTATCTTGCCAAGTTATACGTGATCTCTATACGACGAAATTCTCCGTGGAATCGTTTATGGTTTCTTGAATTTAGTTGTACAGAGATTCCACCTAAATATGATGAATCAAGTCCTGAGCGTACATTATACGTATACAGATTTTGATAAAAATTCAAGTAAAAAATGAGCACAAAGTTACCAGGCTTCAAATTAATTCGCATCAACGCCGGTAGAACAAGGAAAATACCTGCTTAAAATTGACGATGCTCTGGACGTTCTACCAGTCAACAAGAAATGAGGAAAGATATATTGAATTTTGCAGTAAGTAAATATACGCCAAAATGTTGGGGTGTGTTCGGTAGCCTCCTTCATGAAAACAAGAGCATGCTTAATAAACGAAACTCCGTTTTTCGGAAATTCGATCGCAGTAAATGTCATCGAAAATAGCGCCAGAATTGGGCAGAATTCGTACAGGATTACTAATCACACTTCTAAAAGGGCTGTAAACTCTTTTCAGGGTTGTTTCACGTACCGAAACTCGTCGAAAATTCTTCAAGCATCGAAAGCGGGGCAAAATGAGAGGCACTCACGGATTCAAACACCGGTTCTTCGCCGGCAGTATTCCGAACAGGAAAGATGACACGATGGCCCAGTTGTTCGCCAGCAGCACGGGTTACAGTATTGTTGATTACTCGAGAAAACGTTTTGCGAATACGGGACGAAATCTGCTCTCTTCGACCACGGACTTCTTACAGGACCAGCGGAAATTCCCGAGATCCGGAGCACAGTTATCAGCAACACGAAAACAGGCGTCAAAGCTACTGCTGCTCTCAGCAAGTCCCACGCAATCCTCATCCTGAAATAATCACACAAGTTTTTTTTTTCCGAACAGTTCCATTAGATACAAGTCTCAATCGACAGGTCAGCATTCAAAATCCAATCCTAAGGTGACTAAACATAAATGAAAAATTCCTATAGTCATTTGAGGCGGCGCTAATTTTTAAATACTGCATCTCCGATGAATCACTAATTCAAGGAAACTAAATGTTCTACAGTACAGTATTTTCCGTTTCCAAATACTTGCTTGCTTTAAAATTTAAATAGTTATGTTTCGAACTCACGTAAAAAGGTAAAATTCCCGTAAACTATTTTTTACAGAATTTTTTTTTCAATGCAAAGAATTGGTTTCTGTTCACCCGTCGAACGTTCAAAAATATGTAAACAAATTGATAATGAGCGAGGATGTTCCTCCTAAGAGTTATTTTCTTTATTTTCTGAGTCAACCTAGATTAACGTTCCTCATATTGGTGATGAAGGAAATTGATCACTATATATAATGCGACTGTGATGGCTGTTTTTCGGCCACGACGCCTTGGTTATTTGATCGAACCCTGGCTGGCAACTGCGACGGTATGTGCAGGTTTTCTGAGTGCTGACTGGTAACTGGTTGCATGACCAGGTCGGGTGATTCATAAATGGGCAGCTTTCGAGTTTCTCAGAATCAGAGGTCAGTTGGAAGAACTTGGAACTACCCATCACTGAGTGATTGCTGGAGGTAAGGCATTGATCCGGTTCCCCAAGAAAAAGTCTTTCACCCCGGGGTCCTTCGCTTTAGAAATTATTGTGTAAGAAGTATGTTGAGATGTCATTTTATTGATGTTCTTAAACCGGGACGAAGACGAGTTCTATTTTGGAAATGAGGGGGAAATCCCATGGATGAGTTTTCTGAGAATCTTATTGCGTTTGTTGACGGTTATTACTCAAACTTCTCTCTTGTCGGTACTTGTTGAGTGATGCACGTGTGTTTACTGCGCATTTCGTTTACTGACTGATGCAATGTTTTTTTTTTTACAGCTAAAATTCAGCCCACTTCAAACGCAACTACGCAAAAAACCTGGATTCACTCGTTTTTTTTTTAATATAAAACAACTACAGTATTCGAACATTGTATTCGTTTCAACAGCTAGATCAGTAATGAGTATGCAGCTGAATTAGACTTCCAATCTACTGTACCGCAGTTAACATGTGTACATCAGAGAGATGATCGTTGAAAATATTTTTGAATGTTATTTCCGAGTGCAACAACTGATAATATGTTACACCAGAGAAATCATTTCAGCTGCGAAGAGGAAAGCGATGAAATTTCATTTCTCGCCTCTGATGCAACTTTTTGATGCATTGCAGATCGCAGAGGGATTACAATGAACAAAGCAGTCCACTCGGATTTCCTTCATAGTAAATTTGGCTCTTGAAAATGGACATAGCAAAAAAAATGTCTCTGGAAAAATCCTATCACACAAAAAGACACAATATAATATCGCAGGAAATTCTGTACCCAGCTATAATATAGGTTCATAATTATCCATAACCCTTTTTATAAATGAATAAAACATTACGAATAAGCTGCTATTACTTCAAAAACCCTCAACTCAGCGCGTTTATTTATTGAAAGATTTTCTACAAATGTTTTTTTTCATGTTACCATCAATCTTTACTCAGGAATGGGGATATCATTCTGTTTTTCGGAATGATGTTCGTAAAAGTAGGCCTTGAGACATTTGTTTTAGAAAATCGGTGAAATTCATGCCGATTCTTCCGTGGGGTTAACAGGAAAATTTTATAAAGTTAAAAAAGTTAAATTAAAATGTTTCATCGATTATATAAGTTTGCATTGATTTGATCCATGGTTTCGTAGGCAAGTGCAATCATTGAGAAAATAAAAACACTTAATGAATGCAATTTTTGTCATAATCTCAATACTGTACTTCGAAACATTGTTTTGACATACTGTACTATTTAAAATATTTTCGGCTAATTTTTTGCCTCTAGAATTTGTCTCTTAGTTCTGTTCCATATTTCATGCGAGTCATTTGTTTGCAGAAAACAATCACTTATTTTTAATAACCTTGTTGTACTTGGAAGCATACACAAATAAAAAAAAAACTCCGCAATTACGAGGGAAGTGAATGGGTTATGAGTGTGAGTTGTGGCTAATTTTAATTAATCATGCATTATAGGCGATTACAGTGACTTCGGATGAATTGAAAATTGGAAATAAATTAAAAGGAAGAAAAGAATCCAGAAAATAATGTATAATGACCTTGCGATCTCCAATGCCATATTTTTTCAAAATGCTCGAAGAAAATGGAACAGCGTGTGGAAATCGGTCACTCATACACATATGTTATTGATCGACATTGATTATACGTTATTTTGTGAATGCTGCGCATAATCAGATGGGCATACGTCTTGAAAAATCGTAAGAGGAATTTTTTAAAGACTGAGCCCCATCCCGAAACTTCTGGGGAGATATTTGGGGCAACAATTAAGGGTATGAAATAAATCAGATCTTACAAACAAGGTGTCATTCAAATTGATCGTTGACTCCGACAAAGTGCCGAACAGGACAATTGGCAACTCGGTCCAGTTTTTCGCCAGCAACACGGATTACAGCGTTGTTGGCCAGCACTCTGTTGCAAATTTGTAGCACTCAGCAGCGACGTCGAGTCTCCAGTGTCAGCCCTTGGTGCTGCTGCTGCCAACTCGAACCCGACCAGTGCCAACACGAGCAAAATCAACGCAAAGCAAGCCGAAAGTTTGGCAAAATGTGTCACCGAGCCCGCGTTTCTCATCGTTCAGTCGGAGCCAGAAAAACCAATTCCGTTACACTTCCCACTTGACTATTATGGGACTAAATTTGCGCACGAATCGCGGGTTTTACTGGCGCTGCCTGCGGTCAACTGAACCTCGAACTTCGAGGCCCCTAAACGCTTATTCAGGTGCGCAGTCAGTTGAATCACGGCTTTTTATCCCTCCTTTGTCGAGAAAGAATATAAAAAAAAAGATGTATATTTTTGGAACGGGAAGTCCATTTATGATCGAAATACAAAGCGAAGAACAAGTTGGTCGACGAGTTTTAATTAAATGACGCGATTTTTTTCCGAGAACGCCTTCCCCGATAGTTTTAATGTGAAGTAAAACTCACTAAAACTTACACATCGTCTCTGAGTATACTTGATCAATTTCCCAGAATTAAACAACGACGGACACGAATAACAGGGTACTTAGAAAAATTAATTTTACAGAGAAGAAAGTGGCCAGGAAATTAGTTGACAAAACTATTTCAAACTCTGGGTCAGCTTCTCCGAACCCCTATAAAAAACAATGGAGAAATAATTCTCCATTGTTTTTTTATTCAAGATAAAAAACAATCACTGACCAAGTGACCAGCCTGAAAATGAGACCAACGATACCTTCATGATTCTCTTACACATCATTTGCATACCTCTCTTGTCTCTTGGAAACGAAAAATGCATCAATTCAGAAAAAGTCAAATGCTCGAAATAATAAGCCTACAAACTCCTGCCAACATTTTTGGAACATATGCCGAGTAGAATTAAAAAAAAGTAGGTCCTAGTGTCAATATTTGAGGCTATAAGTGACTAGCTGTTGGGGAACCAGAACTTGGGTCCAGGTCTCAGGACCTGAATTCTTGCCTGGCTTTCTGTTGCGCATCTACTTCCTGTGAATCTGCCACTTCTTTGAGTTGGAATTCCCTATTGAGCAAGAAATTCTAAAAAAATGTCCAAAATTCATCCAAATGAGTTCCACTGAAAATTCTTTTTGAAAATGCCTTTGATAAGTTTGCTCTTGCAGACAAATTTGGAGAATTTAGAATGTAGCTATAGAATTTCCAAAAAAATATGTGAAGTATATTTTTTGAAATTCCAATCTCTTGAAAGGCTCAAGAATTTTTTAGAGAATAAGCTTAGGTGTTCTTAGCTACATGTAGCTTAGCTACATTCTAAATTGTATCCCTTTCTTTCAAGTAAGCAGTGTCCTATATGATATGTTCCTCTGTTTGAAGGAGCAGACAGGTATGAACAAAAAAGTTGATTTGCATGTGTGGCATTTGCCAAAGCACTCAAAGTGACTTTGTTCAAGGCTTTGGATTATACTTGTACAAAATTCACATTTTGGAAGAATATAACAAATTATAAACCTGCATTTTGAGCCAACAGGCTCAAAATATGTTCCTCTACGGATGTTCCTCTAAGGCTGTTTTCATGTTCAAATTTTACAGATAGTGTAAGAAGAACCACCCACTTACCATTTGTTCATTTGTTACAACACAAATTACTCGGAAAGTGAAAATGCCCCACCTTGCCTTCATTAAACATGCAATAATAGGCATAAATCCAAAAAATAATGTGAATATGTATCTAAATTAAAAAGTTCCAACTATATGCTCCAGCATAATTCATAGTGCATTTGAGAGTTATTTTGAAGTGTTTGGTTAGGAATGGGCAACATAATATCAGCTGTTCCACTCATGGCACAAAATATGTACATAATCTAAGAAATTCATGATGATGAAGTATATGTGTCTGTGTTAAAAACAGAAATTTCTCATCATAATTTCAACTTCAACTTGGATTGTATGTCAAAATTACATACACTTAATCCGTTTATTCAAAAAGGGAGGGGGATAAGGAGGCATGACAGGGAATGGATAAAATAAAATTAATTTTGTACATCACAATTCTCTAAAAATCACTTATGTTTAAGAAATAAAATACTGTATCATAATTTTTTAAACACCAAAAAATCACTTCAGAAGATTTTTGAGGCTACCATGCACAGGTTTTTGAAGTGGGGACAAGCTGGAGTGACACATTTTATACCAACACCAGTGGCATGACTGGAATTGAAATCTTTGATTCAATTTTCTCCACCCCATGAATTGTTGGCGCTGCCTCTTCCTGTTTTTTCATGATCTTTTTTTAATGCAGGGATGAATGTGCGCTCACAACCAAGTTGTATGCCCTAGATCTGGTTTCTTTTTCAAGGGTTTTTATGAGCAGCATGATTGAATTGATTTGTTGATGCCTGATTTAAAAAATACTGAATACATTTATCTTTTCTGCTTTTGCAAAGTTTCCATACTCTCAAAAGTTTGAATTCCTCAGCTAAGAGAATTTTAAACTTGAAATTCCCCAGCTCAGGGAATTTTTAACTTGAAATTCTCCAGCTTGGGGAATTTCCTTTTTGAATTATCTGGGGGCCTATTTGACTGGTGGGCCTAATGCTACAGCATCAATAGCACCCACGTTGATCTGGCCCTACATCAGTTGTGCATTTGTGCATTTTGTTATGTGTTTTCCGTTTCTTTGATACCCAAATAAAGATTACAGTATTTCTCTATTTTCATCCTGATGTGATGGAATGTGTTTGATTGAATGTGGATGAGAGGAGGGGTTTGGATGTGAAAACATTGTTTTAGCATTCCTTGTGAATGCTGAAAAGTGGAAAATAAACTTTGTTTGCCAATCAATCAAACAATCAATAACTACCACATTCTAAATGAAATATTCCTTGTTTTATATAGATCAGCAAAGAATCTGTTTTTTCTACATATAATGTAAAAAACATATTTTACAAGGAAGAAATGCTAAAATAATATCTGTGACTATAAAATTCAAATATGGGTGAACGGCATGTTATTTAGACGTGTGCAGAGCTTTTTCGTTTATTCGTCATTGTCGAATGGGTGGTGAAATTTTTGCGTAATTCAGAATCATCGGATTGCAAAAGTAAAGACGCATTCATGTCGCATACGTTTCGAGGAATATATATTACAGTATTGACCCACGCTGAACGCAGACACACAATTTCAACTCATAATCAAACTTTGTATTTGATGGCACTTCACTCACATCAGTATAGCAAGTTTAGAGTTTCCTTCGTAGATTAAAAAAAAAACGATCTGAACAAGCTTTATTAGAGAAATAAAAGACCATTTTTCGGGCTGATTCAGAATAAATTAGTCGAGACAGCGGGCTGGGCATCGGATTTTGCACAGCTGCGGTTTGCGCAGGCAGCACCTTGGGCAGCCCTCCCTGTCCTGGGGGTACGGGTCCGCAGCCGGGTATGCATAGGGGTCTGCGAATGCGTACGGGTCAGCGTACGCCTCAGCATCGGGGTCCGCAAACGGAACGGCGGAAACAACGGCAAACAGGGCCACGAGAGCGAATACGGCGACAAACACGTTCTTCATCTTGATTTTGAGCTGAAAAATGAAAATAATCTTTTGAAAAATGTTTCCAGGTTCCACAATTATTAACTGCAAAATGTAATCTTATAAATGGTATGCGCAATAATTTGCATGTAGATATCCACGGCCCGAAAGCATTTTCTGCATCCGTTTGCAGTCGGGAGGAACTTTCAAAAAAAAATCTAACCTTGAAAGAAAAGAAGTACTGTAAAAAATTCTTCTCAGACAAGGGGCACAATTCCATAAACATTTGAATGGACGTACTGTGTATTCCCCAGGTAACAAAAAAGCACATGAAAGTATTTCCTCGGACATTTTTTTAGTGACCATGCTGATCTTAACAAGGAAATTATGGGATCCTTAAATTTAAAATCATTGTAAAGAAAATATACAACTTTAATTCGATATTTTTCATTCTTCTGCGATTTTTAGCAGAAAGTATTGTGCCTCAGTTTTTCAAATACAGTACTCTACCTTATATTCTTCTCTTTGATTGCCTTTATAATCAACCGTTCGAAGCAATGTTTGAAGTTGAAACATTTGAACCTATTTTGTCAAACGCTTGCTTGAACGAAAATGAAGAGAAAATATGGCGAACACAGCTGAAAAATTGCCAAATCTGTAATAATTGTTTACTGCGTTGATTACTTATTTTTTGTGTGCAATCGATGAGTAAGATGCAACGTGATGTTTCTCGAATTCTGGTTCTGATTTGTTTTTTTTTCGCTAAAGGCATTGGAAGAGTTTTAGAACTTATAAAAACGCGAGCGATTCAGCGGAAAAAAGTAAGAGAAAATCGCTCACCACTTGGAGAAAAATGACAAATGCTGGTTGCAGATAAATTCTTGTGGACAATATGCGTACAATATGCGTGTCACTTGGAGCTTGTCAAGATGTGGACTGACACTGGCTGCGGCCCTTTTTTATATTTCAACCCGACCTAGAAACTTCTAGCCACGCGTCAGACACAGAACACGCAAAAGGCATCTGCGCATTTAAAAATCGAAGGGAAAACCCTCGTTATCAGCTCATTCTCCTAGCAACAAGCGAGCACTCAATTATTTTCTCCAAAACAGCGCAATCAAAGCTAAAAGAGAACGAGTTCCTGCTACATATACAAAACTCGAGAGAGCGAAAAAAAAGAACGTGGCCAGCATGATATTTTTGAAAAATTGTTTTCAATGTTTCTGGTTCTGGTCTTCCGTTGATAAGGAAGCGTGGGAAAAGCGTGTAAAGGTCAAACATCCAGGAAAAGTAACTCGATTGTGAAGAGTAATACAAAATAAATGGAACGAAAGATATTTTTCATGGCTGAAACGGAAACACGCTCAACCCCCGGAGGCATTGGTAGTGTTTCAAAATAAACCTCGTATGAATTACGGATTTTTTTATACAAATCCTGTGAGGTGAAAATAAGATCAAGTGACGACCACCGATGAAAACAATACAATTTGCCATAATTGCAGAATTCGCTTTTAGGAAGCTTGCAGAAACTGAACAGGATGATCTTTGAAAACGCATGTCGTCATCACTCCCTATAAAAGTATTCAGAGACACCGAGGAAAATTATTCGTTTTTCAGTTAATGTTGCTGTAAAGGATTCAAATCCGTACCCGAAGACATCATTTCATACAAATCGTAAACTTTACCTGTGCGTATTTTAACGAATATCTTTGTCTTGCAGCATAACACATCAGAAAAGGCACCTAAAGAATAAAGCCAAAGGTCAAATTGTTTTTGCTGAATTCTTGAAAAAAGTTTCGAAATATTTGGAGTAAGTCTTGACGTTGGAGTGTAGTCTATTCCATCTTCAAAATTTTGACGAGGGAACGAATTTCCAATACTTCCACGAAAGAAGTATTCAATTTTTTATTACATTTGAAAGCTACTCAGTTTAATCATTTCGAACAAGTGCATTCGTTGCTCCTGACTTTTTTCAAGAAATAGTTCGGTTACACTGAAGATATGGGGTTTACCGATTAACTCATCCGTGATTCATTTTCTTCTCGATATTGATGGCAGTCTTCCACTTTCTCAACAACAACAAAAACAAGTGATTCAATGGAATTCTCAAGAGAAGTTGATTCCTCATGCAAAAGCAGATTCATGATCAGATATAGGTCAATAAATTGAAACTGATAATGCTTGATTTGGACACTTAGACTCTCGGAGTATATCAATAAGCTACGTACTAACACTGGTTCAAATACTTTTCTATCTTTATTCAGCCGAGAATCTGTTGGCTATTTGTCAGCGATGTGACTCATGTCACATCGCAGCGACATCGTTATCAGCTTTTTTATTGATCAGAAGAAAAGCACTACAGCTTCATGCTAATTCTCTTATATAGAAGTAAAAAAAACTATCGATTATTTGTCATGAAATGATGCTAAAATCGCGGGAGACATGCGTTCTCACTGCTGGTTTTGAACGGAAATCACACTTTTCTGTTGAACATGACACCCGATTGCAATTCAAGAGACAAAAGAATTTAACTTTTTTCAAGTGTAAATTTTAATTTTTCTGCCTTTCGTCCCGCATTTCTGAAAACAAACTTTCAAAATGCCAGCATTGCTTCGAGAAAGTTGTTGAAATTTGCCGTCAGCATGAGGAAAAGAGTTCATAAAAAAAATCCGTAAATGCCAGTCGCTTCTCGAATCAAATAAGCAAGCGTCCACTTCAATTGAAAAATAATAATGTCAAATTCCGAAGCGTTCCGTTCACAGCTTTCTTCTGATCATCTGCGAGAAAATTTTCGACAGAATAATTGGTCTCGTTATGCCCTATATGCTAAGAGAGTCAATGAAAAAAACGGGGAAAAACTAATTAGGTACTCGCGGGTGAGATTCAAAAAAAGTGCAATTCATGCAACCAAACATGACGACCGTTCGAAGCCATGTGAAAAACAGGCCACTCGCTGATTGATTATGAGTGATTAACAGGCCTGAATGTAATCATGCGATCTGTCAACGTCACAAAATTCTCTCACGTTTCTTTTGTGTTTTTTCCCCTCGCCGACGTCTGCTGATGATTCGCTGATTTTCATGCCGTTTCTTCTTTCCGAAGATTTTCTTCTCTCATTGCGAGCTCGAGTTACCTTGAATAAGACCAAACTTGATGACCTGACTGATTTCAAAAGCTTAAATTATCGCTATAATACTGTAAAGTACTTTTGGAAAAAAATTACACGCAAAAACCCGAATTATTTTGCGCTTACTTAACCCAAATTTTAGTAAACGGGGTGACCTTTTAAATTTATTAGCTTTCTTTCTCTCAGAAAAGATTGCATACAAGCTTTTCGTCGTCAAATTTTTCGCTTTTCATTTCTTTTTTAATATCCGGGAGACTTATTTCAGACTGTGATGATATCGGCAATTCTAAAACTGCTGTGCCTGTTCATCATCGAACACCTTTTCTCTGGTATTTAATTTTTAACACGCTGAAAATATTTAAAATTTATATCTGTCAAATGAAAATTATCAAGCATTGACCATTCATGATGTTTCCTTCGCAAAAAATTCAAGTTCTGTTGCGTTAAAAGCAGCTAAGAATGATCAAATCGCCCTAATAAATTATCTCTACGTAAAAAAATCCAAACTTGATAAGGAAAAGTTTACTGGAAAATAATTTTTGAATAATACTGCATTTCAAAATCGCTTAGTAGTTTTTATAATCGTTTTATGACGTAAATTTTTATTTCGTCCGTATATGTAAGAAAATTCTCGAACAGCAATATGAGAACACGATGACGGAAACAAGACGTTAAAACGCTCGTTCTTCTCGACTTCCCCGTTGAGATAAAAATCATTGTAGAAAACGGATTCGTATCCAATTGTCTTCAAAGTTGTTGGACAGGAAGTCCCGTGAATCAACGTAATATAGCGAACAAGGAAGAGCTCGAGCTTCCGCATGCGCCGCGTTTTCCTCGTCGCCTCCCTTTTTTCTTGACGAACTTCGTCATCTTCGTTCGTCGCATTTCTCGGATAGTCGAATAAATGGGACTTGTTTATTTCTGCCGCCAACTGTTTCACGGCAGAGACACTCATCAAGGGATTTATATTATCTACCGTCCTGTTGTGAAATACTAGGATGTAGTTTGTTCCAGTTGTTATTGTGGATGCGAGCCACGACCTGACGGCGAGGTCAGCGCCTGGAGCTGATTGCAGGCTCTGATCCGAGTTAGAGTTCAATCAGAGCCCCACCAACAGACATTTCTTTGGCTGCCTAGTGAGTGAAATAATGACTATGACTCCCAAGTCAAGGGTGCTGATTTCTGTGTTGCCGTCTCATATAGATGATTATGGAACATAGATTGCGTGATGATCTTTCGTCGACCTTGCGAAGCGCGCCAGATTTCCATCTCAGAAAAAACTTGAAGAAAAAACGCAATCTTTCGAGTAACCTTTTATCCAAAAAATCTAGACACTCGGGAATTTTTATCAAGCATTCATCATTTCTTGGAATTATTTCAGATTATACTTATAAGGTACTGTTTTGAAAGACAGTCAAGTGCTGATGGCGATCATCATCCTCATTTATGGGATCACAAGGTGGCCTGGGAAATTGGATAAATTTTTTCCACCGGGGATATTCTCAATGATTTCAAAATTCCGGTTTAAAGGATTTTCAAAATAAAATGTCATATGATTTTTTTTTTATAATTTAGGCTGTTCCAGTTGACTGATATGAGCAATACGCGCATTTAAAATAAATAATACGTATACATTAATTATACTGAATAAGTTAACATGTCCTTTCTTACGATGCGTGAAGAGTTCGTGAAAAAAAAAACCGTTGGGATTACTTTCATTTTCAAATGACTCGCAATGTCAGTAAGCATTTTTATTTTCTGAGTGATTATTGATTATTTCGGATATCTGAAAATGTTTGTCTTATAATGGCAAAGAGGAAAATAAATACCCTGGCGTTGGCAGAAAACAGTTCTGCACCCCTTCTCTCTGCAATAGAAGGTGAATAAAATTATTTTTTCTATAGATCTTGAAAGAATGAATAGAAACGGGAGGAATTAGGACAAAATATTGCTAGATAATCCACCGAATAAATACAAACAGCTCATTTCGGCAAAAGAAAAGGTACTTTGACTGTAGCGCGGACGGTTGATGAAGTCCGCGTTCAGCTAATGAGTCTTCGGAATGAATTTAGAGCGCCGAGAAAATTCAATTGTCGAAAAATTTTGCAGGTACGACCAGGATATATAGCTGACAGTTCCCATAAGACAAACGAGGTGAAATGAATTCTCACAGGTTCCCCCCGAAATAATAGGAAGCTCGTACAAAAGACAAAATACTTTCTACGTCAATTCGATTAACCGCGTTCCCTCGGTTCACAGGACATAATTTAGCGCCGTCGCTTCACAATTGTCTCCAAGCCTTATATTCCCAGATATGCCGTAACGGAATCTCTCTCTTTCTTTCCCGCGACACACTGTGCTCAAAGAAAGACCAAGGAGAACGATGATATAAAAAAATTAAATAAAAAATGAACTCGGTGGTGGTGCATAATCGCATTTCCCGTCCCCGAATCCGACTGCAATGACTGGGAGACGATGAAGTTGTCAACCTCCCTGGAGGATAAAAAAAAATCTTTCTATATACTGCTTCCATTCCGTTGCACATCGGATTTATCTCGGCTGGAGATTCGAGAAACACTGCGGGTCTCGGATGGCAATAAATCGCTGCCTTCGTCATCAGCTGTTGGGCGACTTCGATGTCCTCCTTGCTGCTGCTTGGTTTCCGCATTACTTTCCGGCTGTGTTTTGAAAAAAAAAAAAAAAATCTACGGTAGTTATGAGGGACGAAGAAAGGAAGACTTCAATTTAGTTTCGTTTGAATAAAACAGGCCGAGTCGTGGGATATGAGCGAGTGGTAAATGCCGAGCGGGGAAGTCAAAGTTTTGTAGCTGCCGGTTGCGCTGAAACAATAGCCGCGCGTGCTTGAACGTCTATACCAAGAGCCCGCCGCTTCCGTCAGTTAGTATAGTGCAGTATAGTAGCTTGCTATGCTTTGTTTGTGTAGCAGGGTCGAACCGAATCCTCGGGAAGAATACCTCCTTCTGTTTTTCTAAAATCCTGGCAAAGGGGATTCCCTTCATTTGTTGTGAGCCTAGGCCACACTTTTGTTGAGAAAAAAAAACACACCGAATAATTTTTTATGTATTCTGAATGTCGGCTGCTTTATTATTGAAAGCCCATGCGAGAAACACTTATTGAGAACGTATTCTGAAGTATTTTACAAGTATTAAAGCATTAGACGCATCTCATTCCAGCAGAGACGCCTTAATTTGAAATCAAGTTTGCAAAATTTGAATTAGCTTAGGGAAGTGAAACTTTTTCACTGTTGATGTCACTTACCCTATACGTTTTCAGATTTTCATTTCAGAAAAATCAGTTTTTCCCAAAAATGTTTAACAAAATTCAGAAAGTAGCCTGGAGTAAAGCTAATCTCTGTTTGGAAGTGCAGGATAAGTGTACAGTAGTCGTAGATTATTGGAAGAATTGTGATTCCCGCGCACCTGTATTGAAAATTAAGGATGAGGTGAGTAATTTTTGTTGTACCAACGTCAGCATAATTAGAAACAAAAAACGTTCATGAATGTAAGGCAATGCGTTAGCCTCTAAAGCTTGATACACTTATTAATAAGTGATATAAGCGAACAGATTCTGCTTTTTGATGAAATCGAATCAAAAACGCATAGCTATATTAAAACCTTCAAAAGTACAGTATCAATAATATCGAATGCGCGTGGCTTGTACTGTATACGAACAATATTTTATATGGCAAAATTTGGCAACAAAATGTGAAGCTATAGCTTCAATACCATTCAAACAAATTTATTCATAATTTACTGGTTCTCTCCAAATACACTGTCTTCCATCTGGCATATTTCTTCAAAGCTATAATATGAAAATGCATTGTTTTGCAGTGAATATGTTATCTTTGAAAATCCAACATTGATGGATTGATAAACAAGCTTTATTTTCTGCTTTTCAGCAATCACAAGGTTCAAATAATGTTCCCACATCCAAACCTAAATTTGAAGTCATCATTATTTTGCTAATACATTATATAAATGCATAACGGTTCAAAATAAAAGAGTCATTGGATTTTTAGTCTGTAAACTGTCAACAGTTTCATCTTTCTAAAAAACTAAATCACCTGTAGTTACCGTAAAAAATGAGCAGAATTAAAAGCATCTCTCCAACTTTTGCTCATAAAGTACTCAAATAGATGGAAAATGTATGTTAATAATCAATTATTTGAATCGACGCATGACACAAGCTTCTGTAGTTTCAAATGTATTGTTCTCAAAATAACCAACCGTATCAAACCCGCATTTATATCTCAATGGTCGTGGGTGAATAAACAAACACACATATAGAACGTTTTATTTCACCACTTTACATTTATTCACCTACTACAGAGCGTCTGACCTCTTATTAGAACCACACAATAAAAAAGAAAACACCGTCTTGCATGATTGCTCAATTACGCACAGTATTTGAATAGAGTGGACAATTCCTTTGACTGCATCTCAAATGACGACAGCGTCCCGAAAGAGAGCCGCGCGCCTGTGACACCAACGCCGACCTTGTCTCCCCGTTTTTCCTGCTGGTGCTGGCGGGCCTTTTTTTTTTTTTGGTTCCTCCTTTTTGGCGTTCTCCTTATTATTGTGTTCAACATAGCCCGCGGAAGATGCGGTGTCGGGTGTCGTTGGTATATTTTGAATATACTGCATTTCCTTTTTTTTTCTCTCTCTCTCTCTGCTTCGGCCCCTCGTTCGGAACGATTTTTTGATGGCCTCGAAAGGAACGTGGTGCTTATCTCACGGTGCCGGTGGCTCAGTGCGGTGATTGTGACGCTGCGGTGCTGGTGTGTCAAGGGTGATGCGGGCAGCGCATGTGTGTGTGTGTGTTTTTGTTGGAGACCATTGCAGTGCTTTTGTTTTCTGCTTGGCTTGGGGAACTGTGGGAGCTAATGTCTGTTGAGGCAAGAGAATTTAGCTTTTGACAACTTGTTCTGAGGTTTAATTTTTTCTTTCTTGCTCTGAAGAGAAAAAAAAAAGAATGCGGGTCTCCAGCAGAAGAAATAAAAAAGTTCGATGCTCGCCTTCTGTTTCAATGGTTTCCTAATTGCTCTCGGAATACAGTCAAACCGGTCTGATTGTGGATTGCTTTAAAAGCCTTGAAATGAAGTGCCTCAAGTCATATTTTCAACGATGCGCCGTAGAATCACTGATCATGAAACGGTAAATTCTCATTTTTCCCCCATGTTCAATTGTAAAAGATTTTCATTCAAGAAATTTTCTCAACGTCATACATGCATGGTGCCGAAATGCGACGGTTCAGTGGAATAAATTGTACAAACAGCATAAGAAGCAGGAGCATAATTAATAGACATTCAAGCATGACAATGATTTTCTTCGGTTCAAAAAGTGGAGCCAATGAAAAGCAAACATAATTCAAGCATCTGTAAATTAAGGTTAAAAAAATGTCTTTCTGAGGTACTGCTTTCAAAATCGTATTTTCAAAAGCCGTCATGAGTGAATGAGTCAGATGATGTCAGTTCAGAAGTCAGGTGTATTTGTAAAAACGACAATCTTAAAGAGATTGAATCGACTTCTCGAGCTTGTAAATCAGGAGTGTGAGTTGAAGACTGAAAACATAGTCGAAGACAAATAACGTTATATAGAATTGACTCCAAGGAATGTTTTGCGATTCAATCTGGCTGAGAACCTCTGAATTCAAGCATACAGTATTTTCTTTTTGAAATCTACCGACACGATAATTTTAAAATTCAGATCATTCATATACAATTTCTTTTGCGCGCAAATGTAATTGAATCCTGCCGGTCTGAAGAGTGCTTCTCGGGGGTTTCTGGTTCAAATCTTCAGGAGTGCCAGAGATGTCAATGGATAAGGAAGGAGTGAATGATGGTTCTATACTGCTAATGGAAACAGTGATCTCGTCCAGCTCTCCATAAAAATAATTTATCATCTTCGCAATTCTCTTCGTACCTTTTACGGCGCCCAAGATGAAACTCGACTTCTCGATTGATGTGTGTGGAACAGCTCCCCCGAAAATATTTTTTCCTGCACCCTAGACAATCTTCTCTGTGTGTGTTGTATCTGTAGCAATGATTCCCCTCACTCCTGAACCATTCCCCAGAACCAAAAATAAGCATAAAAAAATAAAATCGAGGGAATATATAGATAATCCCAGAAGGTTTCTAGTCACGTCTCCTCATGTCATGTGCATGTGTGTGTGTATTTGTGGATGAGAGTACTAGAACGAGTTCGAAGTCAGTTCTTCTATTTCCTTATGACAGAACCTTTGTAATAGTGACGTCAGCATCTTTTATCCTGCTCTTGACACGCATTCGTGGCAGACGTTTTGAAAAGGATTTCTTCTTTGGTCCTGATACTCATGAAGCACACGCGCGTGCTTTCTTGAACGACCTATTTGCGACGACAGGAACCGTGCTCCCATAATATTTACTTAAACAAAGGAATGCCTTGGGATTTTGAAGGTGTTCTAAAATTAGCCACGAGTTCAGCTGCGCAAAACAAAAACGAAAAAGACTGAAAGATTGATTGATTTGTCAGTGGAAACTTAATGAAGGAGAAGCATTTTTAGAAGTTCGCATTTTTCACCAGCGACGGGACGTGTAACTAAGACTGGTACTCGGTTGCCAAAGAAATTGCTCTGCTTTTCTGCAGAATAAATAGAAGAAAAAAAAACGTGTCAAAAACTGAGGCAACTACGAAGTATTGTTTGACAAGAAAAGTTGTCCCTTTTAACGTAGTATAAATGTGGATGGAGTCAGGACGACCTTGATTAATGAGCTTGTGGCACCTTATCAACTTTGGGGTTATTAATTTTTAATACGTGTCTTATTGGCCATTCCAGGGCAACTAAAATCTTTAAAGTACATTTTTTTTCAAAACAATTGATTGAATTTTCTCTCCATTTTAAAGACTACAGCGTCTTTCGCGCAAAATAAATTATTACTTGGATATTAATTTACTCTTTCTAAATCGCCCAGCATGGAGGAGCATTCCTTCAATTATTTCATGTTTTTTTCGAAAGGCAAAGTTATTTTATGTAAAGAAACTAAGTCGTAACTTCGTTCCATGTAATTTTAATTTTTTGTTTTGTTAGTTTGCACGACTGCCTTCAATGAGTTTCTCGCAGCTATTTTGCAGAATAATATAACGCGATAAATCCTGATGTGTACTGCAATAGATAAGGTGCAGTACTTTGAATCTTTTGCTTTGATTTTTTCTTGCCAGGAGATTGCGAAGAACGCGCAAGTACTGTAAAGTACTTTCTTAATATTTTTAGAATTGTGCAGCTTTTGAAAGTGTCGCAGGATCAGTGATTGTGGCGGATTCACTCAAGAAGTAGCTGTTATTGGAAGTGCTTCTGACGAATTCGCGGCTGGAGACAAGCCGATTGGAACCAGGTAATTTTTTGGTAATCGATGTCAATTTAGTGAATCGAACTGATATTATCATGCAAATACTGCATTTTCGTAGTCCCTTTCTTATTTTTCCCTGATCACCCCCATCGTCATCATCATCATCATCATCATCATTGCTCCCGAATACCGTCAGGTGTTCGAACGTGTCCAGCTGCGAAATGCTATAAATTCGCGACTATCTTCTGTGCTCTAATCGGAAAAGAACGGAAAACTGGGGCGAGAAGTGATTAATTGCTTTTGCTTTGTAATTTGTTTATTAT